CCGCAACCCCCTTGTCTCACCTTGTCAGCCTCTGCCACCTTTTTTGTTTTACTACTGATTCCCCTCCTGTCTATGTCAAATTTTCCTCCCACCTCTAGTTCATTTTCTCAACCCTTGAGTATTTTTTTTTTTAATTCTCCCTTCCCTTGCACCCCTTTTCTTCAGTATTTCCCAATCCCTCACTCCCCTCACACTTTCGGTGTGATATAGTGACCGCACGTCGTAACGAATTTGTGATAATGTGAAGGACCATTTTTTTGGCAAGAACCAGACGATAATAACTATAAGTCGAGTACATACACAAGTGTCAACTCGCCTCGTATCGACAACAACAGAAAAAATTCATAGAATTAAATATTCATTCTAGAGTAAAATTACATTTTAAATTTTAAATTTTCATTCCATCTTAAAAAATGTCATTCCAATTTTAAATTTTTTCGTTTTACTTGAGAACTTCCTTCCAAGAATGGGGTATCACTTCTTATTTGAAGTTCATGCTAGAGATGGAATGAAAGTCTGGATGATTTCATGAAATATTTTAATTGGACTGTCATTCTAAGTAAGGATTTTCAGTCATAAATAAGTTAATCCAATCTTAATTAGAAGATATTTGTTGTAGTAAAATGAAAGTTTAATTACAACATTTCATACACTCGTCTAGACTTTCATTCCATCTTGAACAAATAGATGTAGTTGGAAGGGAAAACTCATATTTAGACGAGAACTTATCAAATAAAATTGAAAATTTTGGAATTGGACAAACATTGGAATGATAATATATAAATATGAAGAATTTTTTTTTTATGGCATGTTTTTTCAACTTTCATTTCTCGTGGGAATTTTTTTGTTGAATATCCTGAGCAACTAAGGAAAACACCGAAGTATTTCTCAGAGGCGCACAATCGTTTTAGCATCAGGACGAGTTTGAAAACCGGCCAGAGATGTTTTTTTTTCAAAACACCAACGTAGCTAGTACCAAGTAGTGACCAATGGTAATATTTAGGAAGTAGAACGGATAAAACACTTGTTTTCGAAGCAATTGCGGCAATCTACATGCATTCTCCGAAGTCTTACGGTGTTAGACGCCTCTTCAGTTTCAAACAGTCACCATGGAATGACTAGCGGCATCAACAATCAAGGACTTCCGCTTGGACCTAAACGTTATTGCAGCCAGAAGGGAGGTGCCCGACTAGGAGATGGTATTCTTCTGAAAGCCAACCCGCCTCGGTCATACAACATGAAGTTCCTTTCGCCGTTTTTTTTTCTGGATGAACGATCACAGTCTGAAGCGAAGTTTATTCCTGCCTCCTCCCCTTCCCCCTCCCCCTCCCTCACGCTCTTTCTATGCTTGATAGCCTTCACAACTGCCTTTTCACTCGCCCCTCATTCTACGCGCTCTATTCTAATAGTGTCAATCTAAGCATGCAATTCTCGCACAAGCAGACAAACTCAGACGCTACCTCCAAGCGCTTCAAGTTATTTGCACTACCACGTTCATCACTGCAGCTATGAACTCGTGTCCATTAGTGCTAGAGTTGGCCTTAGGGATAAACTACCCCTCCCTCTAGTCGGTCAGTGGATCTAACGCACAAATGCGTCAACGTCTCATCTCGTTCCGTTAAACGCTTGATGCGGGTTTTACCTCTCTTCCCCTCGTTCCCCTCCCTTCTTTGCACCCTCGCATTTTCTTCGCTTCTTCTTTTCATAAAGATTCATCAATACTTGGTTACATAAAAGGATCGATGCCTTCTTGAATTCCGTGTGCACAAGCGGTTAACGGGTAGCTGAAAATTCATGAATGAAAAATCTGAAGTGAGAGTTTTTGGCAGTCTGAAAATTCTGAATGATCCTGAAGTGGTGAAAGGTCCGAAGAGCCTAAAAACCACCTGTTTAGGCAGACTACATCCTGAAGTGGTGAAGTGAGAGTTTTGGGCAGTCTGAAAATCTTGAATGGTCCGAGTGAGGTGAAAGGTCCGAAGACCCTGAAAACCACCTGTTTAGGCAGGTTGCATCCTGAAGTGGTGAAGGGTGTCCTGAAGTGGTGAAAGGTCCGAAGACCCTGAAAATCACCTGTTTAGACACGTTGCATCCTGAAGTGGTGAAGGGTGTCTTGAAGTGGTGATGAAAAATACGACTGTTGTTAACCTTCTCTCTCCTTATGATGACTACCTTCTAATTTTTCTTCCCCTTGTTTTCTCACTCTACTTCAGTGTCAAATTTTTGATTTCTTTTGCAATCATGGACAATGATCATGTTTCATACCTTCGAATGAAATTTCAAATCCTTCCTCCTAAGACATGATATGCAAATCGGAGTCCTTGTTGTTATTATAGTCCATGTGTTGTGGTTCAATTATCTTTCAACTTGCATGATTGAATCCTTTTTGAATGACAATAATAGCCGTACCTCGTTAGTTCGTTGAAACACTCGCTTATTTTGACTCATAGGAAGTATTCCTCACACACCTGTGTAATTTTTCTTTTCGTTCTTTCTTTCTTCTCTTTTATCTCTTTCTACTATTTTTCACGTAATTGTATTTATCATAAGTAGAAATTCTATGACAGCGCTTCAAGCGAAGTCCGAGATAATCAATCTTCACGTCTTCTGAAGGCATGATATACGGATCGACCCTTTGTAGTTGTTTAGTAATCCATCTCATGATTCAACTCTCTATTGCGCTCGACGGACCTTAAAATTTTACATGTTAAAATCCCTTTCGAATGGCATCCTGGGTTGAATGTAGTCTTCGGTTTACCATTCCTTTGGCGGAAATTGACTTAATCAAATTCTCACTTACTCCCTGGGAATGACATGCAGAACAAATGCTCCCCAACTTTGAATATTTGGTAATAATTGACTCTTTTATTGATTTCGAGTAGTTCCTTTGCTTATATGAATGTCGTATGTGTGTCACTCTTAGAAAACACATGATCGCTACTTGGAATCTGGAGCAACCGGCCATGCATATGGATGTTGCTTGTAGAATTAGCCGAAGCACTACTGGTAATATCACACTCGCACGTCTGTAGAAAGTTCACCGGAAGAATTGTCGTAAGTTGCTTTTGCTTTCGTATCGATTTTAAATATTTAACGTATGAATGATGAGGAGATTTCACTCCTACCTTCCCCCTCATAGCTTCCATTTCTCTTTATCAACACACACATACACACACACACACACACAAACACACAAATACACACACACACACACACAAATACAAACACACATACACACACACACACACACACACACACACACACACAAAGAGAGAGAGAGAGAGAGAGAGAGAGAGAGAGAGAGAGAGAGAGAGAG